ACATTTAATGGGATGGTTTAAAGAATGGCTCTCAGAAACGGGGTTAGTATAACGTGGAAACTTAAAGAAACATTAAATATAGAGCAACACGCACTAAGAAACGTGAGAAAAAAAATAGTTAATGCATAATTTCTTTCTACAAGTGGGTGAAATGAAGGCACGCAATAAAAGTTGTGGGTTGTAGGAGGTAAAATATGATGTACGCACAACTTGTACGTATAGGTATTTGTAAACCAGGAGATGAGATAGGTTTTAAGACTTTTTATACCCTACAACACTATGTGTTGGGGGTATTATAAGTTTGATTGGGCCAAAAATTATGTAACACCTCCAAATAATGGTTTCCCACATAGGAAAGTATATATGGATCTTCCTATCTCGCCGAGCTGAGTCGATCTAGCTATGTATGCCCGTCCGTCTGTCTGTCTGACCTTGTTGATTTGTAATCAAGCTACAGGTCGCAATTATGGCCCGATATTCACGAAATTGGAAATGGAGATGGGGTTATGGTCAGAATATAAGTCTATTGTTCTTGGAGAAGATAGCATAATATTTAGAGGTTGAAATGGACCAAAAACTGATTTTGCAGTTGCTCTACATGTCGCAATTATAGACCAATCGATGCGAAAGTTAGCATGGGGCTAGAGCTTAGGGCTGGCCAGAAGCCTTCCAATTTGGATGGTCATCGGGTAATATTTAGTGGGTGAAATAGACATTAATATTTGTGTTAAATAAAAATCAAATTTTCCATTAAACCCCGAATATTTTTAATCCCGGCGAAATCACAAAGAGACAAAAAGGTCAGATTACATAGATGCCGATAGGGTTAGACCCAGAAGGGCTAGGCCAATTGTTTCTAAAGATGTCCGCAATATATTTAAGGGTTGAAATGGACCAACAACTAAAAATGTTCCTGATTTTGCAGCCGTTATAAGGGTCACAAATAGATACCAAAGGATACGAAATCTCGCATAAAGTTATAGTGTAGGACAGCGTGTATAATGGACCACTACTTTTGTGTGAAAAGTTGCAATTTTCCTTTTCTTTTTCTTTCCTTTTTATGCTGATTTCGTTGATGAATATAGCCAAATATCGTAGACAAGCAAATCATATAGATGACTCTAAATTTGGAGATACAGAGGGGCTTCTTGCTTTTGGAGATGATCGCAAAATATTTAGGGGTTCAATTAAACCAAAAACAAAAAAATCCGATCACACAATTAAAGCTAATCGACGCAAATTTTACATGAGAAGAAAGTTAAGGACAGGTAGGAAGTCTAGCATTTAGGGTGACCATTGGATTATATTTAGCTGTACAATGGACCACAACAACTAACTGCAAGACGGAATACGTAAATATTAGGCAAATGCCGAAAATATACCGAAAAGTACGATTATTGAAAACTATTTCCAGAGAGCTTTGCTAGGCAAAGCAAACTACTGGATTTCAATATACTGACTTAGATTCAGTAATTTTTTTTTTGCACTATTTAGTAACTTTTTATTACGAATTTTGAAAAAAAAAACAACTTGAGTAATATGTCAAATCAAACTTTTAATATTTCGGCTTTAAAATTATGTTAAAGCCCTAAGAGCCTTTTCAACTAGCGAGATATGCGAAATCGGCCTCTAATGCTCCACATACATAGCATTGAGTGTAAATTTGTTTTATCAGCGTAAAATTCTCTTATAATCACTCTAGAGTCCGAACGGCTTGTCTTTTGTTTATAGTCAGGTCAAGTTCAAAGAGCTATATTAGTCAATATTTTCCTCTTATAAATTCGAAATTTAGAGTTAATATTGGATTGGAATACAGGTACTTTCTTATTTTCGGTATTTTGACGATTTAAGCTACATTTTCTAACGGATTTACTTAAAATTTGGATTCCGTAAAGGGTTCTGTTTGTTATGCACAATTTTTCTATAAGTCAACGTTTTTCCATAGCCCTTATCTTCCTGATATTCGGTATTTTGATGACCGTAGCCAACTTCGTAGCCAATTTGGCTTCTCCGTCAGATCTAAACCAAACAGACTTTGAGATGAAAAGCTCAATTTTTTCTGCAAAACTTTTCAGAATGGATCCCAAGTGAACTATTAAATTATGTTTAAAATCCAGTTGGTCTTGTCTTTGTAATATGGAAATGTGGGTTTGAATCAAATTAAAAAAAAAAGAAAGTCCTAATGACTTTATGATACCCTACACCACGTTGCTAATATAGTTGAGCTCCACATAACAATTAAAAGTTTTTATGGGAGAATTCAATCATACACGCTATGATTATAATTATAATTTAAAATTCAAAGGACTAAATATGCCGAAGCATTTGAATCTTTTAAATTCGGATATGTATTGCCCATTTGGTGCAAAATTAATTTAAAATCAGATAAAGATATATATGGGAGCTATATCCAAATCTAAACCGATCTCGATAAAATTAAGCAAAGGTATTTCTGAGCTGCATTTAATATATTTTCCCAAATATTGTTGTTACAGAGTGCATATTACGGCTGCGGAGGACAAAAATAACAAATCGGATGAATAACATATATGGGAGCTATAGCTATATCTGAAATTTGGCGTACTTATTTTCAGGCCTAATTTGGTTGTATGTGCAAAATTCCCTACTATTCGGGCTGATATTACACGTTTGGTGCACAATAAAAGGCAAATCGGACGAAGATATATATGGAAGCTATATCTAAATTTTTACCGATTATCTCCAATTTCAATAGGGTTCGTCCTTGTTGTTTGAAAAATTTTATCTCAATTGGATAATAAATGCGACCTGCATTTTGTTCACAAGAATACATGGATAGACGGACGGACGGACGGACTGACATGCATAAATCAACTCAGAAAGTGATTCTGTGCTGATCATCAAAAATAACCATGGGTCTATCTCGTTTCCTTTTACCTGTTACAAACAAATGCACAAAGACATAATACCCTGACAACCTTGTGGTGTAGGGTATAGAAATCCGAACTTTCACTGCGAGGCAACATATTATCAGAAAGTCGGGTGATGTTAATAAAGGTTGCAAGTATTTTTATCTATATTTAATTTATTCAGGTGTAGATTGTCCAAAATTTATTTTGCAAATTTTAAATCACTCCCAATCTCTAATATTTGAATTTTTAGTTTTTTATTTTTTTTTTCTGTTTTTAATATAAAAAAAATTAATGAAACAAATCAGATACAGCATTGCTCAGTACCAATTTTATGATCGCGTTGCTGTGTAACAAATTTTTTTTTTGTTCAGCAACAAGTTTTAATTCCTACCAAGGTCAACTGAGAGTATTCAAAAGAATGTGAATAATAAACCAGTAAGGAAAGCTCAAAAGTCGGGCGGGGCCGACTATATGATACCCTACACCACTATGCATATTTAGTAGAGCTCTCGTAAAAAGGTTTATACAGGGCATTTCAGAGCTCTATGAGATATTTGGTACAAAATCAAAATCTATCTAATTCTATCGTGCATTTTACGAACTATAGCTATCACTGAACCGGGTTTCTCCAAATTTGACGTATTAGCTTCTAGACTGAATTCGGTCTTATGTACGAAAATTCATGCCATTTGGGCTGATATAGGCCATTTGATGCACAATTAACACGAAATCGGATGAAGATATATATGGGAGCTATAGCTATATCTGAACCGATTTTTACTAAAATTGGTGTACTTGCTTCTAAGCTGGTTTCGGTCGGATTTGCCAAAATTGATGCTATTACGGCCATTTGGTGGTCAATCACCCGAAATCGGATGAAGATATATATGGGAGCTATATCCAAATCTGAACCGATTTCGGTAAAATATAAAACAGCTATTCCTGTGCTCCATCTAATACCTGGTACCAAATATCACGGTTGTGGAGTGCATAGTAGGAATGTGAGGGACTTAAAGATCAAATCGGATGAAAGATATATATGGGAGCTATAGCTATATCTGAACCGATTTTCTCCAAATTTGATATACTTGCTTCTAGGCCGAACTCGGTTGGGTGTGCCAAAATTCAGGTAATTTGGACTGATAGTGGACATTTGGTGCACATTTAACCCGAAATCGGATGAAGATATATATGGGAGCTATATCTAAATTTGATCCGATTCTCACCAATTTCAATAGGGTTCGTCCTTGGGCCAAAAAAATATTGTTTGGAAAATTTCATCTCAATCGGATAATAAATGCGACCTGCATTTTGTTCACAAGAATACATGGACAGACGGACGGACGGACGGACGGACAGACGGACTGACATGCATAAATAGACTCAGAAAGTGATTCTATGAAGGTTCTCAAAAGTAACTATGGGTCTATCTCGTTTCCTTCTCCATGTTACAAACAAATGCACAAAGACATAATACCCTTACCACTATGTGGTGTAGGGTATAAAAAACGACATACAATGCAAAAACATTTTGAATAAAGTGATGTTTGAAAAAGATTAATATCTTTCGGAATTGTTGTGCTAACGAAATGAAATCGCTAGCTTTGGACTTCAAATGACACACCCTTTGTGAAGGAAAAACATACAAAAAGCCACTGAATAATTGTTGCCCTAACATTAGAAAAAATAATTATTTTTATAATAACATGTGAGCAAAAACGAAATGAAACATGTAAAATATGTGTGTTTTATCCTCATACACGGTAGTTTGTCATAAAATTACTTTTTTTAAGAAAAATATATTTTTGAAATCTCTATTTAAAAAAAAAATAGTTTTGAATTCATATTTAATATATCCGCGTTTGACAACAATTAACTTTAAATGTCATTATTTCTTTGACAGCGAAAAAAAACAAACCAACTGGTCATAACGGCATTCCGTTTTGTTAAATCATTAAAATGTCTTTGCACTAATTTCGTTTGGCAAAGCCACCAAAAATTTTTTGTTTGTCTAGAAAAACGATTTTGGAACCAAAAAATAATAATAACAGTGTTGTGTGCTAAATAAATGTTTCTTTTTTATTCTCCATTTTTTCACCATTCTAACAGAATTAGACCACCCCAAAATAATAACCAGAAACCAGCACAACTTCAAGAGAATTAATTTTCGGCTTTTCATTTTTTTCTAATGTTTGACAATAAACGACACGAAAATTTAAAGTGAATTTGTCCGAATTTCAGTTACGCAGCCATCTAAACTAAAAACAAAAAACACAGGTCCCACAAATGACCAGCAAATGGATGTGGTGGTCGTCTGACCACATTTTTACGGTTATGAGATTGTTGTTGCGGCTCAACATTCTGCTGTTGGTGTTTTCTGTGCCATGGACAAATTGCCAGTTCTTAAATCAACCGCCACGTTTTGTACCCGGCTCCGGCGACATGTCCAGATTTAGTCTATCGGAAAATTCACCTGTTGGCAGTCCAGTTTATCAATTGAGAGGTAAGTGGCAACAATTAAAAACTTGCAACTTATATTCGTTATGATCGTGTAATAAGTTTATGTAACCGGTGTATTTGAATGGAGTCTTAAACATGTATTTGCATGTTTCTACACGATCAATCTGAAAATGTTACACATTTGAATATTTTCTAATATTTTTAGAATTAAGGTGAATTTTTCAAAATTATATTATTTTTAAGTTTATTTCAGTTTATGTTAGTTCAAAAAGTCTTCCCTAGAATGAAACCCCTGAGTAGGTCTTCTAAAGGTAGAATACCCTCAACAGGTTATCCATACAGAGAAAACCAGTCAACATGTTCCTTATAGCTACAAGAACCTTAAGAAATCTCCTATAAATATAAGACCTCCACAAGTTATTCTATAGACAGAAACCAATAGGCCATCTACAGACAGGAGACCTTTAAAGGGTCTTCTACAGATAGAAGACACTCAACAGATCTTTTATAGATGGAATATCCTCAAAAGATATTTTATAGATCGATGACCGCCAATAGGTGTTCTATGGATAGAAGTTTCTCAATAGATCTTCTATGGAAAGAAGACACTCAAAGAATCTTCTATTGAAATAAGATCCTCTACAGCTTTCATATGGAAAGAAAATCCTCAACAGGACTTCTATGGATAGAAAACCCTCAACAGGTCGTCTATACAAAGGCGACTCTAAACAGGTCTTCTATGTATAGAAGACCCTCAACAGGTCTTCTATGGATACACGAAACTCCACACGTCTTCTATGAATTGACAGAATTTCTATGGATAGAAGAATATCAACAGGTCTTCTATGGATTGAAGACCCTCAACAGGTCCTCTATGGATAGAAGACCCTCAACAGATCCTCTATGGATAGAAGACCCTTAATAGGTCTTCTATGGATAGAAGACCCTCAACAGGTTTTCTATGGATAGAAGAATCTCAACAGGTCTTTTAAGTATAGAAAACCCTCAACAGGTCTTCTATACCAAGGCGACGCTAAACAGGTCTTCTACGAATAGAAGACCCTCAAGAGGTCTTCTATGGATACACGAAATCCCACAACATAAAAAATCCTCGACAGGTCTTCAATAGATAGAAGACCTTCAACAGGTCTTCTATACAAAGGCGACCCTAAACTGGTCTTCTCTAGATAAAGGACCCTCAATAGGTTTTCTATAGAATGAAAGCCCACTATTTGGGTTTGGGGGAACAGATGGAGCCTGACTTGTGAACTGTTAATATTGGGGTCACTCTTTGTATGTGTGGTTGATATTTGAAGGTGGTTTTGGAAATGTGTACTAGAAAAGTACGAAAAGTACTACATTTGGAAAAGTATTACATTTGGAATATGAAAAAGAGATACACTTGGAAATCTGAAATTTGGTAATAAAGTCACTTAGTAGAGGCGGGTTAGTGGTATGGAAGTAATTTTGGAAATATGTACAAAAAAGTACGAAAAGTTCTAAATGGTACAAAAAATACTAAATGGTATGAAAAGCACTAGTATTTGACTTGGTATTTGGGGAGCAAATAGAGTTGGAAATTTAAAATTTGGAATGAGGGTCTCTGATGTTGTGTCGGGAAATTAGAAATTGTGTTTTTGAAAAATTGTACCAAAAGTTCTTAGACGTACAAAATTTGGTTCTATTTTGACTTATGTGACGGATATAATTTTAAAATTTAGACAGGTATGAAAGGTAGTGTTGTACGAAACGTATTTAATGGTACTAAATTTGGTACAATATGGTTTTGAATAAACGGACGGAGCAGGACCTAGTAAATGTTGATATTGGGCTCAATGCTGGTGGGGAGGGTTAAAATAAAAGTGCGATTTAGGGAATATGAACTGCAAGTACAGGGTGAGATAAAAAAACTGTAACAAAGTCAAACGCCATAATTTTACCTTTTTTTCTTAAATTTTATTGAATAAAAGCCAAAAATGTCGGAAATATTATCAAATTTTTGAATAAGTTTAGATTTGTTCGAATTGGTCACCTTGGGCACAAATTATGGCCTTCAAACGGCCAATGAAACCGTCACACGCTGCCCGATTATTGCTCTGCGGTATTTTGGCCCATTCCCGGCGAAGCACTTGCTTGAGGTGATCGACACTTTAGTATTTTTTAGTGCCAACCTTGCTTCCCAAAATACTCCAGACACAATAGTGCAATGGATTGGTATCCGGAGATTTTGGTGGCCATTGTGCGCTGGAAATGAAGCGAGGAACCTCATTTTGTAACCATTCTTGGGTGGCGCGTGCCGATTGCGATGGTGCTGAGTCCTGTTGGAATGTCCAAGGTCTGCGGCCAAAATGTTTGCGTGCCCAAGGCTTTAATACACCCTCCAGAATATTTTCGCGATAATATTCGGCATTTATTCTGACGCTACGGCCGATTAATACGAGCAGAGAGCGACCATCGGCTGTCGTGGCAGCCCTCACCATCACCATGAACGGTGCTTGAGTTCTGGTGGCCAATCGAGGGTGCACATTTTCAGCTGACCTCCTTGGCAAGTAAACACGATCATTTTTATTGTCTACAAATTGCTGGACAACGAATGTTTTCTCATCGGAGACGGAGAAAACCAAATTCGGAAGTTCGCCACTTTCGGCCAAGCGAAGCAACTCTTTAGCTCTGTTGAGTCTCTTTTCTTTCTGTTGCGGTGTAACTTCTTGCACTTTTTGGAATTTCAATGGCTTTAACCCAAGCTCATTTTTCAATATTTGCCGAATGGAATATTGCGAAATGTTCAGTTTACGAGCCATTTTTCGGCCACTACGACGCGGCCAAGTCGATCAAGTCGTTTCCTTACTTTTCGAATCATTTCTGCTGATGTTGCTGTTTTTTTCCGTCTATCACGGTAACGAGCGATGGTACGAGACACAAAAGATTTATTCACCTTTAAAAGCTGAAGTGCTCTAACGATAGCCACTTGTGGTTTACCAGCCAAATATAAAGAAATCACACTATCACGGTTGAATTCCATCGCGAATAACTTTTTTTCTGGAAAATTCTCACCAAAATGCTATTGTACGCTTGAAAAAATATAATGAGCTGTCACTGGAAGAATTTTAACAGCTGTCGGACGAGTGGCTTAGAAAAGACAGCAGTCTGAAATTGTTTGCAGGTTTTTAATCTCACCTTGTATATTCTCACCCTTAATATACCCTAGTAGACCTTCTGTTCTTCTTATAATTCAAGTTTATTCAAATCTTTGTAATAAAAGATCATTGTCAAACTATTGTTTAGACATGTATAAATATGTCCCATTTCCGCTAACGTAGAAGCAAATATTTACTAGTATATATATATATATATATATATATATATATATATATATATATATATATATATATATATATATATATATATATATATATATATATATATATATATATTCATATATAATTTTGCACGAAGTTGAGAAATATCGCATCCAAACTGGACTTTAATTATCTTCTGAGCCATAATGAGAAAAATTCCATCTACTACACCTTTCGATAGTTATCCATACATTAATACTTGCTGAAAAATAACAAAAATTGTTTTGCGGTTGTATCTTCAGTTTTCTTATTTTTTTCCTCTGTTTTCTGCCTCTAAAATTGCCTGGCTTTGCCAATTGCCCATCTAACTCGGTGCTAAGACAAGCACTAATCACAGCGTCTTCTTTTTTTGTTGCAATCATAGAAATAGCTCACGTATAGCAAGCTGCCTGGTGATGAAGACATTTTTTTTTTTGCTCAATCTCTCATGCCAAAGGTTCAAAGAGTAGTTAAATCAATACAAAAACAAAAATGAAGACGGAGAAAAAAATCTCTGTTAATTATTTAATTTTTTTGCAATGGACAAAATCCGAGCGACAGAAATTTCAGAACGTGATTTTCACTTCAATTCAATGAAATGTTTGGCACATCTCTGTGTCGTCTGGCGGGGTTTTTTTCGGAGAAGGTCACGATTTATTTACAAAGTAGCAAATGAAAGAAATGAAAAAGAAACTATCAATGTTATTGCTTGAAAATGTGTAAACAATTTGTAACATGACTTACTATATCTTTCCTACATCCGTACATACCTGTCTAGCTAGGTATGTGTATTTGTCTGTAAGTGCTATGTAACGACCACTGCCTAATTAATTACATAATTTTCAATGATCAACATTTCACACATTTTTTTCGTTTTTGTTATTAGATTAAATGTCATATGATGTGAGTCATTGCGTGTAACCTGTCTTCAAGTGCGAACTCAAATACCGGCTCACTCAGGCAATAGTAGTAGTGGTAGACAACTTGGTTATATTTGCTGAGAGTTATCTGCCAATGGAGTGCAGTAAAGTGAATGAACTATATCGTGGCAGATATGTATGTTTCATTTGAAGTAGGTTATAGACAAGACGAGATTTTTTATAAAATTAAAATTTATTTTTAATAACAGCAGACGAAGAAAATTAGCACTTCAGTAAAAGATGGATTTTTTTTTTTAAAAATTTGAAGTCATTTAATCAGCCTCCGTGTAATACAAATATTAATTACAGGAAAAACGCTGTAAATTATAAAACTAGAGTCAAAAGTCTGATATATCGCCTTTTTTATTTATATCTGATATAAATATTTCAACGTGCCTGACTTGGATTATATCGACGAATTCCTTCTCTTTATATGAGATAAGTGGGTCGAAGTATACCGAAAATAGAGAGGTACCATAAAATGGGGGCTATACTAAAACATAGACCTACATGAGCCATTTTCAATACCAACAAGTAAAAAAGCTGTAAGTTCGGCCGGGCCGAACTTTTAATACCCTCCACCATTTGGTACAAATTTGGCAATTTCCAAAAAATAAAACCCGTTAAAAATTCTGTTAAAATCTTAAAAATACCGAATGCTTATACGACGACGTGGGCCTGCATAGGCAACTTTTGTCATAAATTATTACAATATTTAAATGCGAAACTTGAAGAAAAATCTGTTTATAATGCAGCTAAAATCGTCAAAATACCGAATATGGGGG